GACAAAAAAAAAAAAAAAAAAAAAAAACAGGTCTCTTTGTAAGCCAAAAGCATTGGCCGAAACCTGCCAACCCCCGCCCCAAACAGAAAGATAAGGTGAATAAATAAAAAGCTCAGACAACAAAAGATACATACAGATTTCGGCTTCATGGGCGATGACGAGGTGGCTCCATTCATCATTCTTCTGTGTTCACTCTCCCTGGAAACGTTCCCTCTGTTCATAACACATCCAACCCAAGCCAAAAAATAAGCAGATTTTTTAATGTGCTGCAGCAAGGGTGAGGATATATATATATATATATATACACATAGTAAAAAGTAAATGTGTGGAATAGGATGAAATAATAATAGTCTTTACCCTTCAGGCCATTTCTCGTTTTCACGTTTCCTCTTCATTTCAGCTTTCCGAGCCTCAAATTCTTCTCTGCTCATAACAGGACGTTGAAGACTCATTCGGCTTCCTAACTCTGAAAGGTCCCTGCAGTTATGTAGAAACGCGATCTATCCAGTCAGGAACCATGTCTTCCAAGTTTCTAACCATCGGTTTTATCTCTTAAATCCAGCTAATAGACAACACATATCCAATATTAACCAGAAGGAATTTCAGCCAAGCCAAGGGCGACAGTTAATGAGAAGAAGACCAAAACTCATGTGGTCATGGTCAATGGTTTTTAGAAAGTTATAAATGCGGGAAGTCTAAGGTACCTAGAAAATCTCTTGGACAGAATTCCTGTGTTCAGAGAAAGTAAAGTAATTCTAGTCCAAGAGTCCAAGACAAATGAGCGAATGAATACCTGTGAGGTGGTGGTATATTAGGGAAACCAAACCCTTGGGCCATGAACGGATCTGGATGCATGACACCACCAAATGCCATGTCCGAGGGGCCTAATCCATAGCCAATAAAAGGTGGCATAGCGCCTGGAAAAGGGCCTGTGAACCCATTGAAGCCTGGATGAAAGCCGTTGAAGCCGGGTTGAGCACCATTAAAATACTGGTTGCAGGGATTTGGACCCATGGGCATCATATAGTCGGGGATTGCTAGATCTGGGACAACATTCCACGACATATCTGTGACAAATCACAAAAAAAAAATGATCAGTTAAGCATCTCGAACGATTTCACACAGGCTAGGCAGGTTAAGCATTCATAGGAGATTGGCAGAGGAGTTGGGAGCAGCGGTGAAGGGTGTGACACAGAACATTGTATATGAGAGCAAAGAGGTGTTTAGATCACAAGGTGTCCAGACCATTGTGGGAAAAGAAGAACAATCTCTAATTTTTTCGTGTTTGTATTCCCTTCTCAAGTAATAGAACATGAATTTTCTTCTAAACTCTTGTGAATTCATAATGAGTGAGGATAAGAAAGTTTACCAGCTCCAGGCAGACCAGGCGGTCGTGTCTTCTTTTTCTTCTTTCTTCCTGGGTAAAAAATAACATTTTTGAACCAAATTGTAACCATAAGAAATTACATGTATTTAAATTTTAAAAATTCTAGTCTCACAAGCATTGGAAGGTTCCTCAATAATAAAAAAAGAGTCCATATGAAAAACTTGGATTGATTTATCACAAGGGAACCAGTGGTTGAATATCAATCACAAGATAATGACAGTGTTGAGCATACATCTTTTTTTCCTATGTAGGAGTAGTTATTCCTTTTATATAATAACGTAGGTGGACAACTTTCTATGTAAAAGGACACTACTCAATCCAAAATAAATTCAATGATTACCTTGCTCTCCAGAAGCTACTTGCTGCTGTACTTCTTCCTTGGGTGCTTGTGTATTCGCCTGTGAAGCAACTGCCTCCTTCACTGTTATCGATCCTTGAGTGGTTTCACATGCATCAGTAAGCTTTTCAGATTTAACTCTTTCCACAGGGGGCTGAGGGGCACTTGTAATCTCTGTTGTTTCAGTTGCTGGCTTCATGGTTGAAGCTTCGTTAATATTACTAGGAGCTGGATTCAGTTCACCTTTAGACGCAGCAGATGTATTAAGAGATAGAACCTTGGGAGGTGGGCAGCGAGCAGACTCCATATCTAAAATTTGTTATCCACAAAAGTTGAGAAACATTGACTGATCAGACTACAACAACATGAAAGGAGAGAGAAGAAACCTTGAACTTGGCCTGTGCTCCCAGCGTTATCTGTACTACTGTTGCCAGATTCCAGAATTCGATTTATTGTATCCCGAAGGGTCTTGTTTGGCAGAAGGTCATCAGCAAGAACATCGGTTGATCCACACACGCACATTGATTTTGCAATAATGTGATCTCTAATACCTGCATTGAAGATCATTTAAGTGAAAGAGAAGATATACCTAACTACCAATGTCAAAAGATATTAATTACCAAAAGGCTTCAGATGTATCAGAGGATAACTTACACTTGTCACAGAAGCTCTGGAAACAGCATTTGCTTGTCAGTGCAGCATCTTTCATTACTTCTTTGCACAGTGGACATTTTAGTTCAGGAGGAAGTTCCCCAACAGAGCGTGTTGTTGAAGGCAAGCCCTCCATCTCCTTCTCAAAAGCATCCCTGAATTTGATGTAATGGCACAACATGGATTCACATTATAAAAGATTTGTATGAAAAAGTACCAAATAGTGATAGTGCCATGTTACTTTAGCTACAACTTACTCGTTTGGCTTCAAAACCGCAATTGCACCACTTGGCAACGCATAAGAACCGTCTGGGTTCGCCATCAGCATGGACTTGGGTATACCAGTAGGTGGTTTAACTCTTTTGATATCATAGTTGGGATCACCATTTGTGGGGCAGTGTTGAATAAAATGCCCTATTCAGAGAAATGAGATGCTACTCACATTCTTTTTCAGAACTCATGTTACTCAGCGTCAAAAATAAAGAAGGGAAATAAACAAGACATACCAGGTACATTGCAACGGTGACAAACATAACCTGGGGGAGGTGTTTTCCGTTCCATTCCGCTC